AAATGGTACCAATAAGATATTAGCAGTAGCATCAGGCTCGCTGACCCACACTAGTGGTGGTGGGGAAGTTGATAAATCTATGCATTAATTGCCGCCAAAAGGCCGCAGTAACTCAGAACTTGTACGGTTCGAGCTACCTTATTTCAGTCCCCTCAGCAGTCCCGGGCTGCACCTCTGATCCATCTGCCTCAGTTTCTCCCAGCTGTTTGGCAGGTCCCAACAGAGAAAAAAGACCTCTCGATCAGCTACAAGCCATCGAGGGAAGAGAGGGGAATGTGCTCCAACCCCTCTATTGTTTACTTGGGACTTATTGAACTAAGTGTAAAAACTGGCGTGGGATGTTTCCTATTGTTTCTGTGAAGGGACGCCTTCAGTTTCAGAGTAAAGAACAGCAAAGTGTTCATTATATAGTTTATTACATAGGCTAATCAATAGTGAAGTGAAATTCTTTGTTTTAGAATTGAAATGAGTTCTATGTTACGTGTTAAGATGAGTGGAGCAAGGGCAAAAGTAGAGTCTGTTGGAGTTACCCGCAGTATGGCTTTAAAAAAAACATTGCCAAAAAATACATTCAGGAACATGAAGGAGGTTTAGTACAACTAAGAAATAGCGAAATGATCTCTGAGCATTGTAACCCATGGGGTTTTGTAAGTAAGGTGTTTAATGTAGAAACAGAGCAAAAAAAAAAAGCTAAACTGGTGAAGGGAATAGCTGTTAAATGTCTGCTTGTGGCTTGTAGTTCGCTGGGAAAGAAATTAAATAAAAAATGAAAGTTACTCAGAAAAGCCCAGCAAACTTTGAATAAGGGAAAAAAGGTTATTCAAAATTTAACAAATCGGCTACATGTAGTGTCAGAGAAATGGTCGGTACTTTCCCAAAAGAAGCAGGAGTTAAAGAAAAGTTTAAAACGGTGTAGGTACCAGGTACAGGAAGCAGGAAAGCAAGCATGTTGTTGGCAGGAGCAAGTGGATGCCAGCTTAAAATCGCTGGACGGCTATAAATCAGACAGTGGTTGGCTGTTGAAAAGAATCGAAGAGTTGGAAAAGAACAAAAACTCTCCTATCTTATCACTGTCTGATTTATAGCCGTCCAGCGATTTCAAGCTGCACATCCAGTACTGGCATGGTGGAACCGACGAAAATAAAAAACCTGCAGCGCCAATTACTAAAAGTAGGGCAAGAGAGTTAGTTCAGGCTAATACAGTACCTTGAGGAGCGGAGTAGGAAATTGAGTCTCAGGAGCCACAGGAAGAGTCAAAAGAGGAAGTTAGCAGTGCAGAAGCTACTAGCACTCTGCAGATAGAAAAAGAAAGTCCCAGGATGGCATCACAAAAGGTAAAGTTGAGTGTCATCATAAAAAAAGCAACTAGTAATGTAAAGGATGAGATGAGCAGAGAAAAGGGGGAGAAAATATCCTCTCCTCTCTGTTAATGTTAGGGTTACCATACGTCCGTATTTTCCCGGACATGTCCTGCTTTTTAGTTGTTAATCACGGTCTGGGAAGATTTTTTTAAATATATATAAACGTCCAGAAAATACGGAGGTATGATAACCCTACCCACTGCCCCCTCTCCTCTTGGGGTATCAGCTTGCTGCAGCCTGCGGATTGCAAAACCCCTCCCCCCATGCTGCTGCAACCCCGCGCCCGTGGTGGCGTCTCTGCAGGCAGCTGCAGGGGACCCGCGGCCACTTCTCCCTCCTCCGAGCATTCCCTGCGGCTCTGGTAGAGCCTCAGTCTCCCCCCTCCGTCCCTGCCGTGCAAGGAGCCCCCCCGCCAGCGGTCCGTGCAGCCGGGGCTGCCTCCCCCCCCCCACACGGAGCCGCTGCCGGGTCCCGGCGCAGGGGAAAGTTTCTCGGCACGCGGTGGCGGCTCCCGGGAGCCCAAGCCCCCCCACCCGGGAAGGGCCCGCGTTGCAGCAACTCCCGCAACCGCCCGGCCTGAGCTGCCACAGCCTCGCCGGGTCCGGCTGGGAGCGGGGTGGAGGCTCCCCTGAGCCCGGGGGCAAGGCTCGGGCCACGCACGCAGCACTTCTCTGCTCCAGCCCGTCCAGAAAGGGAGCCTGCGGCTAGGGTGCAGCCTCACAGGTGGGAGCGTGCTGGGGCTGGGATGCCCAGCTTGGGGGCAGGCTCGGGGCCCGAAGCAACTTCCCGCCCCCCGGCTCCGGCCGGTGCTGCGCGGGGGAAGCGCCCGGCCGGGGGAGCAGGGACTGGAGAGCGGTGGGAGCCCGGGGAGGAAGCGGCTGTTTTGTGTGGCTGGGAGGGAGGGGGAATGTGGTCAGCTCAGGGGAGGAGGCGGGGCTGGGATTTGGGGAAGGGGGCCAATAGGGCAGAGGGGGTGGAGCTGGGACAGGGACTTTGGGTGGGGAAGGGGTTGGAATGGGGGCGGGGAAGGGGCGGAGTTGGGGCAGGGCCAGGGGCCCCGTGGAGTGTCCTCCTTTTTCAGTGTACAAATATGGTAACCCTAGTTAATGTCCACCCCTGATAGTGAAGAGAGAGTGCCTTTAGAGACTGTAATTGTTCAGGGACTAAAAGATGCGGTGACACAAGTAGCTAGTGCCTGTGATGTAGTAATCTCTAGGTTACAACAAAGAGAGATACAACAACCAAGGAATGCAATTCCTGCTCCTCCACACAATGTTACATTGCGACCATATAAATCAGAAGACCCAGTCCCTTTGGGTGAACACTTACTGGCATTTGGGCGATCATCAGCAGTGCCTAGGTCCCTAAAATTCTGTGCACCCTCTACACCCGCTTGGTATATGCTAGTATCACCTGGTGTACCAGTAAAACACTCTACTACACCAGATCTTAATGGACTAAAAAAAAATGTCCTGCGTCAGTGTGGAGATGCCTTAAGTGTAGAACAGAGGTTTTATGGAAAGTTACCCTGCTTATCAAGGATTATTCCCAAAGAAAAGTTCTAATAGCTTTGATTTTTAAAAAAATGTAAATTTGGGTAGAAAAAGTCAAAACATAAAAATTAGATTCAAACTCAAATAAAAGCTCAAATCCCAATCCGGATAAAAAACCCTCAGATTCTAATTCTGATTGCCCTGTAGTAGTTGGATTGCTCACCACAACGCCCATAATACAAAAAGTTATTAATCAGGTTCGGTTTATGCATATTCCTGTAGTGTTAAATTTGTCTAGGTGGTATCTAAATTTTTTTAGCTATTGTCAGCATACTAAAGTGGCTTCCTTTTTCTCAGTATAAATTGTAAATAAAACTGCAGCCTATCAACAAGTTCAAAATATTGTTCTGTTGGGGATGAATAATAAAATCCATAAAGCACAAACTTCTAGAAAAAAGCATAACTTAAATCTTCTTAAAAGTTTAGAATCCCTAACAGAACTATTTGGTTTAAAAGTGTCAATTTAAAACCAAGCGAATATTAAAAAAATTCGCAAACATATAAATTATGTTACAAAAAAAAGCCAACCAAGTGGTCAATCCAATGTTACAAAAAATAAAAAAATTGTCACAAAAAAAGCAATGTACTGTTTATAATATGCATAACATAACCCAACTATTTAATAAAACCCAACGTAAAATTAATCAGCTAATCCCTTTAAACAATCAGCACAAAAATCAACATTTAAGGAAAATTATATGCTCTGATATAAAAAATACATTGTAAATGCAATCATTAATACATTATAATCCTTAAAATTAAAAAAGGTTCCTAACAATTAAAAATAAGCAATTGTTAAGTTGGTACTGTCACAAATGTTTTCAAAGGCTTAAAAAAAAAAAAATCAAAAAAATCCACGTTTAAATTCATGCCAGCATTTATCAGTGTGTGCTATTAAAAATAAAATAAAATCTGTAACACCTCACCCCAACCAAAATGGTTGTTCTCTTTCTAAAAATTGTATAATGGCACACTCCTTGTATGTCTCATTACCAGTATTTAACCCAAACAAAAATGTGTACAGGCAATTGGTAGTTGTCCATTCTATAGGTTACCTCAAAGGCGACATCTACAGGGAACGTGTAAAGGCACGTCCGTTGGTGGTCTATCACACTCCAACTGAAACCTAAAAAGTACCACAAATAGCCTGTTGCTCTAAAAAAGGGTCTCAGTATATTTGTAGGTGTAACGTGTTTAAAACAAACACTGTTCTGTGTAACCTGCCAAAAAAAAAAAAAATTACAAAATTCATCATCATGCCGAGTAAGGCTAACCAAGTAAAAAACTCCAATAAAAAGGGTAACCTATGCTAAAAATAGCCAATTTTAGGGTTACAGTTAAAGTCATTATTGGCCCGTAAAAAAACTCACCTCATACAAATTACTAACAATATAAACAAAGCCAAACAAGCTATTACCCAGTTAATAAATAAGGGTAATAAGACTGCAATTCTTCCCAGGAAAAAAATTTGAATAAAAAAATGGGTTATTATCCAAAAAATTGCAATTGGAAGTAATTTCCTTATTTTAAAATGCCTGCAGTATAAATCCAACAGTCCCAAGCAAAAACCTCAACGGCCACCAAATGTTAAAAATAAGAAATAGGTATACATGGTGCCCACTCCAAAAACGTGCCAGAGTCCAAAATACCATCTTTTTAAAAATGGCGTTAAAACTGTCCCCACAAATACTTCACCACCTACATCCATACCTATGTAATGGGGTTCATTGCAAACCACCCCGTCAAAGGGGGGCGTGTAACCTATAGGATTAACCTGCTTGCTTGCAAATATGTATCTTTTCTTATAGTTTAAGTATTTGCTTTATAAATTTATATTGAAGTAAGTTTGGCTGTAATGCAAGGGACCTACAGGCCATACTGTATGTTGAGCTAAGGCAAAGTTAGCATATCTATGTCTGGGACCTTTCACCTAGATTGCAAAGTCAACACACATGCGCACATGTGTGGGACCTTTCACCTAGATAGATAGATAATGGTAAAATGGCTCAGGGGGTTTCCAAGTCTGCACTCTGTCTGGGATGTATGTGCTGTCTCTTGCTATGTGTAATCTTAAAATGTTTTTCAGCTTTGCTGTTAATCTAAAATCAAGTGACTCAAAGGATATTGCACTGCATCTGAATCCCCGAATGAAAACAAAAGTTTTCGTGAGAAATTCCTATCTTTCTGATAGCTGGGGAGAAGAAGAAAAAGATGTCACTAATTTCCCTTTCAGCCCAGGAATGTACTTTGAGGTAAGGTTGCATGAATTAGGATGAAAAAAACCAAACAATGCCTGTGTATTAATGAATGGAAATAGTTAAATGATAGCCTTTTTATCTCATGTAGTTAGTGTGAGTTAAGAGTCAGGGACAATAACTTTCTTAAATGTGAGAGTAACTGTTTGGGACTGAATCTAAAAAAGCAGCTATTAAAGTTAAACTTGATTCAAAGTATGTTATTGCTGTGAAAAAAAACCCCTTCTATTCAATCCCCTTCTCTTTTCTACTTTGAACAAGTGAAAGTGCCTGAATTAGCCTTTAACTGTTGCAAGTGATATTTTCAGTAAACTATGCTCTGTATGTCCAAGCTGGGTTCTTTCCCTTGCAGTCTTAATAAAGTAAACAAAAAAAAAATTATTTTTTTTAGTAAGGTCCTACACTTAAGAGCAGAAGCTAGGTTTGTCTGATTCTGAATTAGACCACCAGAGTCTTCATGTTAATCAAATTAAAACTTAAACTGAAAACCTGTTGTGTTCCTGTTTTTGCTTTCAGTTGTTAATTTTCTGTGATGTTCATCAGTACAAGGTTGCTGTAAATGGTGTGCACATCCTGGAGTACAAGCATCGATTTAAACAGCTTGAAAAGATCAACATATTGGAGGTTACTGGAGACATTCAGTTACTGGATGTGAGGAGCTCGTAGCATCATATTCTTCCACCCTATGTTAACCCTCTGTTGCCTTCTACTCAAGTACAAACTGGTATTGAATAACCCAGATCCTTGTCCCATTTATCCAAGTTTCTGTATTGGTGCTTATCACAAAGTTGAGCCCCAGGAGTCAAAATCCTATTAGATTAGATCTTCCCCAGTTTTCAGTATCTTGGCAAACTAAAGTCACATTATCTGCTTCAGTAGGCATAGATCTCCTGTTATATGAAGAATTAAATTACTGTACCTAACAATATAAAGATTTGCTTTATAGTATTAGAATAACTGCAAAATATTTTGTAAATAAAAACACAGAATGCTGTACTATGGAATACTAATAACTATAAATTCAATATTGTCTGTTAAGAGCTGGACTGAAATATGATCTGTGTATCTGAAAATGGACTGTCAACCTCTTAAGGGATCTAATCAAGTTCTAAGTATATTTTAACCCTTATTGTTTATAAGCAAAGTTAAATGGGAATTACATAAGGAAAGAATATATTCTAATTTTAGGGAGAGCACATCTGCAGTCTCATTGCTTTACTCTGGTTTTTATGTTAATATAACTTGAAATTAGTTATATTAACCAGGGTAAACCTAGAATAATGCTATGATGAATCAGAACCCTGCTATATTAAACTAGTGAATGTTAGTGTTAGTGCTATATCTTGAAAAGGTGTTTCAGCCCCAAACCTAAAACATCTAACTGAAGTTACCTCTCAGCATGTCAGCTGTAATTTTTTGAAAACAAAACTAAAACCAAAACACCCTCCCTGGGGGCCTAGTGATTTTATTTTTTTATCTATTGCACTGCAGCACAGATGCTGTAAGCCACTTCCTTGACTTTCATAGTCACATCAGCTCCTGCTCCTAAGTGGCATAAGTCAAGCCCATAGAAAACCCCCTGGCCATTATGGTGGAATTCTGTAATTTTAGCTGAGATCAAAGTGAAATAACGCTGTCCTCTATTTGGTTGATTTTGCTATGTCTTATCTTGTCAATTTTTGGAGCTGCAGTATTATAGAAGAGATTCTAAAAAAAGAGCTCTTATCTTCCTTTTTGATTCAGGTTGCTCAGGAATAGAAGTAGTTATATCTGTGTTATTTAAAGGGTGTGGACCCATGGACGCTATGCATTAAATCTGAGCTCAGAGAACATATTCAACATGTTGATAGTCAAGAGTGCTCACCTACTACCCCATTGACTAAGTTGCACTATAATATGCTATCAAACAAACATTTTGTAAAAAATACTGATTAGCATATACATGGACCCCCTGATGCCAACATCATTAACATGTCCCTGAGGAAGTCTTTATATCAGGGGTCGGCAACGTTTGGCACGCGGCTCGCCAGGGTAAGCACCCTAGCGGGCCGGGCCAGTTTATTTACCTGCTGACGCGGCAGGTTCGGCCGATCGCGGCCGTCCTGGGCCAATGGGGGTGGCGGAAGCGGCGCGGGCCGCAGCTTCCCGCCGGCCCCATTGGCCCGGGACGGCGAACCGCGGCCAGTGGGGGCCGCGCTCGGCCGAACCTGCCACGTCAGCAGGTAAATAAACTGGCCCGGCCTGCTAGGGTGCTTACCCTGGCGAGCCGCGTGCCAAACGTTGCTGACCCCTGCTTTATATGATGCATTTATAACAGTTTACAAGGAAAAGTCAGTATTGTCTGTGATACCATTTCCCTAGAATACATATAGGCCATGAGGTTAAAAATGGAAGTGTTCTGATTCAGTATTTCTATAACTTCATGTCCTATCTAGTTATTTGCTAATGGATTTCAGATGTGGCAACTTCGTGTGGGGAATAAAATGTGAAATATAAGTCTTAGTCAGTTATTGCAGTTCAAATGTATGATAGATGCCTTAGGAATTAATGAGTTGGCTGCTGTGAAATTGTATAAAGCAAAGACGACTTTCCAAAAATTAAATCTCAATTTTTGTGAGCTATGACTAAGTATTTAATGTTTGTCTTTAAAGCGTATATGAGTTCTAGGTTATCTTTTGATAACTAACCCAATCACTTGCCATATTATGCATATGCTTCAAGCAGCATATGAAACTCTTATTAGTTAAATGTATTAATTTAGGGTATGTCTTTGACTATGCTTATAGACCATTATTAATTTATCTATTTACTGTCCCAGTATGTCATTTGGAAGTGGGGATGATGAGGAAGAAAAGGTGTGCAAAAACGGTTTTGTTATTTAAAAGGTGTGGGCTGATATTTCGTGATTAAGTTTTTCTACAGGCTTAGGGTTAGAAGCACCAGGAAGTAGTAAAGTTAGCTTTTAGTAATAGTACCTTACTAAAAAAATCAATCACAACAGCCAAAATTCCAGGTAACTTTATGAAATACACTGAAGGGGAGAGGTACAAGGTATTTCAGATTTTATTACTGGAATGGTTTCTAAGTGGTAAGTACTAAAGGGAATGATCTAAGAATAGATAACCTACCCTTTGTTTTCTGCTGCTTAGTGTACTTTAACTATGATCACTGCTACAACCAGGCCCATTTAAAAGTGCCCATACTAGACAGTGTTACACTGGTATGTAATTTAGATTTACTTTTCACTGTTAGTCTTTTAAATGAAAAGTACATTCCACCTAAAACATGCTTCTGTAAACAGCCTCCTCACTAAACATTTAACAGCCTAAGAAAAGTTTTTTTTTTACAGCACTGGCATTGCTTGGCTATCTAAAGAGCACTATGTAAAGATTATTTTCAGTTAACTTCACTTTTCTCCTAAAGTACCTGTGTAAGTTTGACTTCCACTCTGTAGTGTAAATCCTGCAATGGGAACAAAGTTCTTAATTTCTAAACTCCTTTAAAGTTGGAATCTTGTATAATCATCCATCTCAAGTACGGTCAACAGCCTTAAATGAGTATTGCTGGCTTCTTCACTTATTTTCTTCCACAGTTAAAAAGAACAGACAGCAACAGAACAGGTAACATCTGCCCCTTCATCCTTCATGGAAGATTCTGAAACCAAGGTAGTTAAACTAGCACATGTAGACGGAATGCCTGATTTTCACACATGGGTACACACAGTTGTAAGAACCTAATAAATTCACATAACTAGTAACATGTGCACATCCCTGTGATGTATCAGACTTATGGCATAATAGTGATTATAGTAATTACTTTTTAAAGCAAAATTAGTGTTTTCTGTAGCTGTTAACCACTACTGTTTGAAGTTATAGGTTGGTATAATTGAGATTCAAATCCCACAGAGCATAAATGATGAGTGATTTTAAACTACTGAGCTAGCTACTGTGAAGAAAACATCTCACAAAACTGTAGCTTCTGTAGTCAGGGTCTCTGCTACTAGAAAATGCTTACTGTCACCGTGAATGACTAAAATGCTGCAGCAACCTTAACAGGATAGAAAATATGTTCAGAACAAAAAAGAAATCTGCCCCTTCTACAACCTTGCAGCACATTTTAGTTTATGAAAATTCATCCCCAATTGTCTTTCCTGACCTTAATTCGTAGAACTGTTTCTACAATTCATGGTATACAGAAGTCAAAAAGCCATCCTGTAATATTTTCAATTTATTAATAGTTGTGGAAATTGTCATGATCCTGAACAGTATATAGGCAAGATCTTAACATTCTACTACAAAAAAAGGTGTTACTCTTAATTGGAGTGACATAGTAACTTTGACAATATTATTAGCTCTTATGTGAGACCGACATTCACATTTCATGATTTAGACTTTACAAGGAAGAGATAATGGTGCTTCTTAGAAGTAGCTGTGGAGTGGTTCTCCTAAAATAACTTCCAGTTGCTGAATTGTCTTCTGGCACTGGTGTTCTACTTCTTCACATTCATCTAAAAAGCAAACATTAACAAAGATATAACTACCCTATATGCTTATCTCCACCCTCACCACTTTTCTTATGTTGTAAGATCTCCCCACACCCCCTTTCATGAGTGTGTCTTTTCACACTGTATGCTCCTTTGAGCAGGGTGTTTGGGAAGCACTTACTATTTGAGCATTACTGCAGCTGAAGAGGTAACGCAATACAAATATTTTTGAAATAAAGTGGTTTTTCCACTCACAAGAGTGCGGTAAATGTAACGCATCATAAAAACCTGTCCTAAAAGCAGTGCCACAGTCTGATTGTTTGGGACTTAAGTGGTGCACAGAGGTGAATTCCCATCAGTTAGTCTATGGCTCCTAAACAATGCATCTGCTTGTTAACTGAAATTAAAAGTAATGTAATAGTCACTGTTTTTTTTTTTTTTTTATAATAAAGAAAACACTCAGGACAGTGGATTTTTAGTATTTGTCAGTGATCGATCACTGTTTTTAAGTTTGTTTTGTATTATACTAGTATTTCAAAAATGGACAACCCAGATATCCTGGTTATCAACTGAAGCATTGTAGGACATTACCTTCCATTAACTCAGCTAAGAAAGGGATGGATTCTGGCAACAGCACCATGTAGTTCTCCTTTAGTTTCCCTGCAAGTTCCACCAAAGTAAGCAGAGCAGCAAATCGGACCTACAATAAAAAAAAAAAAAAAGACACTATATATGGAAACAAGCAATACAGCATATTCTCTGAAACATTGCTTTTAATAGTCCAGGTCTTAGATCAATTTAGTTCTCTTTCCATTCTCCTCCCAGGGCCTTTACTTGGGGAGAGGGGTAATAAAGTGAATTCTGGGAACTGAAGTTTGCTAAACTACGTGGAGCTGGAGAGCCTACATCTCTATAGGAGAGGCTAATGTAGTTCAGTCTCCCATATTCATAAAAAATTTAGAGACAGTCATAGCTTGCAGGGGAAAAGGTCAGAAAATTAGTCAAGAATTAAGCCTGGCTGAAGGGATTAGACAAAGTAAGGAGGGTTGGGTTTGTTAGAAGGTGGACATTTTCAAAGTTAGCTGATAGACTGTACTCCCTTTTTAAAGTCTTCAACAAATGTCCACCTCCAATGGGTCCTGAAGCACACTCAGATGGTTAATAATTCTGGCCAACCGAACTGCAGCGTGAAAGGACCCCCATGTAGAACACTGCCACCACCTCCCTCTACATTACATCAGTGGAGCTCCAGCACTTTTGCTGACTGCAACTGTGACAATATCATCAGAGGAGTGAGACAAGTCTTTTAAGAGGAAGATCCCAAACCATTTAGGACTTCAAGTGTAGTCCCAAGCTGCACCTTAAGTACTGTCTATAGAGCTGTTTTTAGAGTGCTAATGTGAGCCCCACTGGCCTGAGTGTCCACGCAGGGTGGGAGGCTCACTTCCATGGTCTGTGTAGACATACCCTAAACGTCAAGACAAACAGCTTGAATCCCACCAGGGAGCTTATAACCATCCAGCAAAGCTTATGGAGCCCTAGTGTTTGTGCTCTTGAAATACTAGCCCTCTTAATAAAATGACTGCTGCATTCCCTGTCAGTTCTAGGCTCCAGCTGGTCTCAAGGTATAGTCCCAAATGGAATGCATTATTGAAGTCTAGTCTCTTCATAACAAAAGGACAAATAAGTATATCAAAGTTCATACACAAAATAAAAGGTCTCTCTTTGTACCAAGAGCTGAAAGCTGGGCTCCTAACTAGTCTGGGGTCCAATAAGACCCATAGATTACACACCAGGCTCAAAAAGATAGGCTATGGTTGCTTTTGAAGTTGTGATTAACGCTTACTAATTCTTCCAGTTGCTCCCCACAACCTATCAGAATTAGCTGAGTCTTAGCCAGTTTGCCCTCATCACAATCCCACTCACAAAACTGTTCTGCTGCATCAGCAAGTCTAGCAGAAATAGAGCTGGGTGTTACCAATTTACAGAAGACATCACAACCCATCATTCCTCATTAACCATCCTAAGGACCTAATATACTTCGGCATGGGAGGATTAGATTTTTATCCATAAAAGTAGATGTCACCATACACACACAAACCCATGAAAAAATATTTCCTTTGATAATCAAAATGTACAGCTAGGCTAAGAAAGAAAAATGTTGCTTGAGAACTTAAGAGTTTGGTTTGTATATTTTGACATGTGATGTTGACCATTTGTGTTTTAATGGTTATAAGGATTTAACTTTTTGAATCTCAACATCTACTGTCATTAAATAAATTGCTTGACTCCCCCCACCCAACTGTGAAAATTTAAATAGATCAAAATTGAAAAAATGCTTAAAAATGAACATGGATATCTTAAAATGATCAAATATAAACATTGAATTCTGCCACACTTAGATATACTATAGATGTAGAACATGAACAAAAGACACAGTGAAACCCTGCTAAAACACAGGTCAGTTCTCGGAGGCTGATGAACAATTGACCATAATTATCTTCTGGCATCCACTCTGAAGCTATTCCATTCACACTGTAATAAAGGACCATCTGTATTAATAATA